TCTATGATAATAAAATGTGAGTTGGAATGTCATGCTGTAGGTTTGGCCATAGCAAAGAAGCATTTTCAATTGTTATTCTGCTGACTGAAAATTAGGAACTAGAAACAAATGTTATTTCTGGTTTCAACAACAAATTCCAGAAGACAAAATGACGAGCAACCCAAAACATACCCAATAAAAAGCAGTTCATGCTTAAAATATTCTCGCTGGTCGTTATCAAGGCAATGAAAAAAAATTAAGGAACAGAAATAAAAATAAAATAATAAAAAATGTTGTGAAAATTACTACGCAGACTTCCTTGATTCATTAAATAATTAAAATAAATGATTTCTTATTTTTGTGCATCTCGCCATGAAAGTTTTTCCATGCTGTTTGCTGCTGTTGATGCTGTTCTGCCTTCTTAAACCACATTTATTGTGCATAATGATGATAAGAAAATTTCTTTAGAAGTAAAATTGCATAATTTATGCAGCATGTTGGAAAGAAGAACAAAAAAAGCCAAAACATGATCATGTTATCATGAAGCTACACAAGAGACATCATTTACAGCACAAAAAAGCAATTTTCACATCCCATTCCCAATTTCATTTCTTCTTGTTCTCAATTTTTTTATCATTCATCCATTACATTACAATAACACAATAATAAATGGAAATAGAAGCGAAAGAGAGTGGATGGATGGAATTGAAGTGAAGCAAAGGAAGCAAGCACGAAATGTGGATGAAGTTTAAAGAAAAGGATTACTATAATATCAAAATACGATGAATCTTTATTGTTTCTGAGCTCATGAAACAATTTTCACAAAATGCTGCTGTTCAGCTTCTGTTTTTGCTACTGCTTCTCTTTCTCACTTTTATTCCATTTTCTTTCATCTTGTTCTTATTCTTCTTACATACAATGTAATGCTTTACATCCATAAGACAATGTTGAAAGAACATTTTTGTTAAATTTCAGTACGGAACGATGCTAATATTCTGAATAGCTTTCCCGTTCAGCACAATCGCTCACATATGGAGCTTACAATTTTTAAAATGATGTCCATATTTATTTTATTCTATATAGAATTTTTTAGCCACGATAAAACGTTGAAAAATAATTTTTGTGCTTAGAATTTGATGACTTTGGAATGAGTTCCATACAGTAAAGAGGTAACAGCTTGAAAATATCAAAAACTAATCCATTTTAAATTCTATTCTGAGCCACATTCTGTTGAAAATTCATAAAATCTCTCAAATTCCCTCGAATCCTCCAACTCATCTCTATATCCAATTCTATTTCCATTTACATCAAAGACATCCAAGTCACATGATTTCATTAATCGAAAAGCAGCACTTCACATCAATAGGAAATTGTTTACAATCGTAAATCACATGGAAATGTGAAAAGAATGAGCGAAAATGAGAAATGGAAAAATTTAGTGACTCATGTATCATCGTTGTAAGTGTGGTGACGCAACAGACGCCTACACATGAACTTCAAATATGAGAATTTTACATGTAAAAATGCTTTGCCAAAAGCTGCATTGACGTAAGTTATCATGATAGTCTCCAAAAACTCCTGTATGGAACTGACAGTTCTATTTTTTGGGACAATTCTTATTTTAAGTCTGATGAAAATGACTTTAAATGGCACAAGTTACTTAAAGCTGCTTGTCAAGGATAAAGATTAGAGCAATTTCTCTTCCAGCAGCACAAACGCACAATGAAAATATTTTTCTGCACGAGAATCTCAAAAAATAACATTAAAGGATGTAATAACATTCAGTTTTATGGATGCAACCAGGCGTTCCTTATATTTATGTTTGATTCATTTTCCTTTCATCATCAGTCGTCGTGTTCATGCATGTAGAAGTAAATCAGCATGTAAATAAATAACGCATAACGCGAAATGTAAATAAAAAAGATAATTTTTATGTTCTTATCATCTCGGTTCCTCCCTTGTTCTTCATCGTGTCGACTTTGAATTATTTCAGGCATTTGCACTCGAAAACATAAACATCAATTTATCATTGAAAAGGAACTACGTGCATTTTTGTTCCATTTTTTTATGACATGCTGAATATAAGGAACGTCTTAACGTCAACATGTACGGCATTGACATAAAGTTACCTTTTATCCCCACCCACTCTGAACACATATAAGACATGCCATTGAGTGGAGATGTTAAAAAGATGTGTCAAAATAATAAGCTCAACATTTATAGCTTTATGCTGCCTATTCTTTGATGCCTTTGCCTGTCATACTCATATAAGAAGGAAACTTCATTCATTTTATGTGAATTTATGTCTATAAGGTTGATGCTTTAGGATTTATTGCTCATTTTGCTTTCCCCCCTTCTTACTGCCTTTCTCACTTTTCTTTTCCTACTTCCTTTATTTTCAATAAAAAAAAGTTGCGTTTACATGTGCGTTGTTTCAATGAAATTGGCATGCTACATTAAGACACACGAATGTAAAAAGTACGAAGAGGAAAAAATCGATCTCAATAATCAGATTTGCTTGCTTTCTTTCATCCTTCATTGAGTTTTGTGTGAGTTTTTTATTTCTTTTACATCATCAGCAATAGAAAATGTTATTAAAATATATTCACTGGATGTGAGGTTTGAGTGTTATTTCTTGTGGTTTTGTGCTGTACTTGTTAATGGTTTTTGGAAGAATTTGAAGCTTTTTGAATGTCAAACTTTAAAGGAACTGATCAAAATGTTGAATTGTATGAATTTCTATCAGATCCAGAGGATTAGCCTCAAAAGTGATAGATAAAATCACATCCAGCAATCAAAACTCAATAAAAATCTCCTTTACATCCACAGATTCAAAATTAATGATTAAGTACGAACAGCAATAATAATTGCTTATTATTCAGTCAATTTGCTTACTGCTCTATACAAACAAATGAAGTTCCGCTTTTCAGCTTCTTAATCTCCGGTTAATTTTCTCCTTCTTCATTCTCATTGATTACATTCAACTTCCGTTTCTTTTTCTCATTCTTGCTGTATTTTTTCGTGCCTACAATAATTTATTCATCACAATTTAATTGAAATTGATTGTAGAATCCACAAATGAGCAGAACAGACACTGAGCGCCATAAACAATTGAAAATTCTTCTTTTTCATCACATCCATCAATTGAAATGCAATAAAAATTTGCTTTTTATAGAATCTAAAACTTTAGATCGCGATGCACATGACTTGAAATTCTGATGATGACATAAGAACATGACAGAGACACATTTTACTGCCATTGCATTATTGCTCTTCTTCCTTCTCTTGATACTTTATGTGTAAAGTTTCATTTTTGCTGAGATTTCAGAAAAATATGTGAGAACTTCTTCTTATTGAATTGGATAGAATAAGAAATTTATTTTCGTGTGTATTTGATGAATATCAAGCTGTTAGTTCTTTATCACTTTTCTTTCATCCACAATTTTGACTTATATTGTTTTCCTCACACATGAAGTTTCGAGCACATGCACAAAAAAAAGAGCGAGCAATAAAAGTTATAACTTATAAGTGTATGTAAGAATAGAAAGAGAATATATATTGAAGATAGGAAGCGATGTATCAATCATGATTGAAAGCACATATCTCATACATTGTGTATAAGGGAATGAGAGGAAGACGAGAATGAAATGAATATGAAATCAGAAGGCAAAAAAAAAGAAAGAAAGAAAGCAATTGAAAATAATGAAAGAACACGGCAGTGAAAACAAAAGGAAGTAGAATTAATGAGAATGTTTGGAGGTGGAGCGCATTTTTCGGGAAGTTTATTGATTGCCAAATTAGGTTGATTCTTCAATTTTTGTACTTTGCTGTCTAAAAAACATGAATCTAGTGAACCTATTTCCATCATGTTCAAAAATTCAAATCTAGTTCGAGTATAAAAAACCGTTCTAAGGTTTAGGCTCTTAACTAGTACATCGACTAGGTTCATAACACCTGTTCTGATTCTAAAGCCATATAGTATCCAGGTACCTCAAGTAGCCTAAGATACAAGCTAGTCTAATATTTATACCAAACTGCGTCCATTCATCCTCAATTCTTCTAAATAAATACATCTCATCAAAATAATATAGGAACATGAAAGCAAGAAGAAACAAAAAAAAAATCATCGATAACACAGGAAAAAAAAATTCACAAATGATTGCCATGAGAGATTGTTTCCTGCAAGAAACAATATTTTTATTCCATTCATCCGTGATACATTTATGGCATCTCGTATATTATTCTCGATATGTAATCTCATAAAACTTTAGAGGAAAAAAAAGAAATGACAATCAAATTACGATGTGCTTCAAAAATAGGAGAGTATGATGATGATCATATCTCACAATGTAAGGAGATTTATAAGAAAATACTTTTGGAAATAAAAATATGTCGTGACATAACATGAGTGATTTTGTGTTTTGGCAATAAGACATGATTTGGATGTATCTTGATGGAATTGAGGCAGAAAAATGTTATCAATTTATTTTTTGATCTCTTGTAAATCTCTCAATTTCTTCTTTATCTTTATCGATGGTATTAAATGAGGAACTTGTTCTTAACAGACTTAAATCTGTGAAATTTCTCATAGCATCAGCCTTAACATTGTTTTCACTCTTACATGATTATTGGCAAAGAAGATGAATTAAATTGAAAACTAAGGACGACAAGTGCTTTTTGTGACTCATATCCAATATCTACTTATAGACAATATACTGAATGCATGAAGACATTGTATGAAGTAAGGCATTTAGTCATTGTAATGACATTTGTTGTGATGTGTACATTCAATCGATTGAAAGCTTTATATCATAAAATATTACATCATAGCCCTTGATGCAATAAATAAGTAAGTAAGTCGAGACAAAAACTCAATTCAATTCCAGCTTGATGAACAATTTAGAGTCAATTCTCTTACTGTATAGATGATATTACATCTGGAACTTATCAACTGTCGCACGAAAACAGCAACAGCACTGACTGCCTCTAAAAACTCAAAATAAAATCAAGTTTGTACTCACAGTTGCTGTCGTATGCTGTGTTGTTGTATATGCATAAGCCGGTTGTGCTAATGGTGTAGTATATCTGTAAGCTTGCTGTGTTGGTGCGTAGCTTGGTGCCCAACTTGCACCTCGATATTGAGCGCCTGTAATTGCACCTGCTGGACTTGTCATAGTTGGACCGCTTGGTCTTTGTTGAGTCCCCTTTAATTGAGGGGGAGCTCCACTAGGATAACTGTTACGAGGTCCTGAATTGCCCTGCAAATAAAAAGGATAAAAATTCATTAGTTCCAAAAAGTTCAAGAAACTTTTACTGTGATTTTTTTTCATGAAAATTTAAATTGAAATCTCTGAAAATCAAATTTATGAACTGCACCCTCTCGCTTTCGGTCGGTTTCAATAAAATATGCATAAGAGAATTTTTTGTTGCATCCTCTTCATCTTCTTGCTCTTCACTTCCCTCAAAAACTAAAATGTTTTATGCATTTTTCATTTTTTTCATGGCGAATTTTTTCATCTCTTCCATATTTATCCTATAAAAATGATTTTTGGAAGCAGTCAGCAGAGATTAATCAAATTTTTTCAACCCGAAAAAAAGTTTATCCGTTATTTCCATCTATTTATTTTCATATTCAGTGTTGAAGGGAAAGTTTTAAAGTTCCCTTGATTTAATTTCTTCAGGAACTTAGTTGGATATGCCAAAAAATCAAGCATAACTCTGACAAAATTTCTACAAAGCAATTCACAAAAAAAACCTCAAATAAGCGATAAGAAGCAAGAATTTAATAACTTTGCAGTCATCCGCACACATTCACATGCATTTGATAGTAAATTTCCGTAATGCATGTTTAATGCTGCATTCATCCATTAATTCATTCATCTCACATAAGCGTCCGATAATCATGAACGAAAGAAATTGTTTAAGAAAATAAAGAAGCATTGCTGCTCATTCGATTCATCTTGATTCACTAATGACCACGCCTGAAGACTTTCAGAAGCAGCAAACTTGTGTGATATCTTTTACTCATTCATAAACTTTTTTTCATAGCTCACAAACTCAGTTCAGAATTCAAAGCATGCGAACGAAAGGAACAAAAAGTTTATCTTTTTACTGTCGACCCTTAGCAATTCTTGAACTTAAAACAGCAACAAAAAGAAAATTCTTTTGAAAAAATCTTCGTAAAATCCTTTTTGTTTGCTGTTTTGGATCCACGTGTGTGGGATGTACTCAGTACTTGGCTGACTATAGGGAAGAGTAGAAATATATCAAAAACCAAGGATAACTTGTCTGGTTCTATTTCCTACATGTGTGCCTGGTACCCTGCTATCACAGAGGTCTAAACTATCATTCATCACTAACTTCATTCCTGCCTGCAAACTGCAAAAAATCTTTTTCATCTTAAAATACTGAAAGGGATATGAAAATTGTATTGCGGGTCTTTAAAATCATAAAAAAAAATGTTGCAGCTTATTTTATTGCAAGCTTGAATGGTATTAGTAGTAAGAGGATATGGAGGAAGAAATGTCATCAAATTTACTGCCATTATATCCAATGTTTCATATCCATTAAATATGAATATGCTTTATGATGGAAGATTTATGTTCAAAATGCTTTGTCGGCATCAAATGAAATTATTTTTGTATCTTTGTGAAAGCGATAGCTGCAATCGAGACATGAAGTCTTATTTGCTCTTATTTTTAGAAGGCATAAAGACAGAGAAAGTACTTTGACTATGTATGAAAGGGATGAAAATGTTTTTCGTGGTGTAGGAGATGCTGGAAAGACCAAAACTGACGCTTTAATACTATCATAATGTTAACAGACTGAAGACGTGACAAGAATCGAATTGATTTTTTTTTTCTTGTTACTTTCGACTCTTTGGAATGGAACAAGAACATTCACAAGCCATTGATGATGGTGGCTTAACTTGATCGACACTTTTCGACATCATCTAATGCATGCATCGGAAAGTTGTAAGTAGAATGCCTGAGATGCTGTTGCTGGTAAATAAAAATGGTGAAAGTTAAATACCCAATAAATTACAATGTTTGCATGATAATAAGACTGAAGTCAACGGGAACAGAATGACAATGGCAGCAGTGTCTATGGCTGTATGAGGATGGAAACATGAGAAGAACTTTCCTCAAATCTCCATTAAATGAAAATGATATTCAATGCCTCATTAAAAATTTGATGCCATTTCACGCTCGTCGCATCCCTCGCTCAATATTTCTTACTTCGTGTGTCTAATTAATCATTTTTTGCTGCTTATGCTCTTGCTTCTTGCTACTGATGATATTCTATGTCTGGCAATTTTTCATGCCCTCTTCTCATGTAATGTACACAGAGTGAGTGCGGTAAACAGTAAAATAATAATAATTGAAGACGGGCAAGCAAGGCAAGGCAAGAATGAGGAAAAAAAGTAAATTTTCAGCAAATATTTTTCGATTCTTAATAAGAGCCATTAACATTCATTAACATAATGTCTGACTTGATGGACCAAAATGAATTTTATTCTCTCATCTATAAGGAATTCAGGAATAAAATTGGAAAATAAGAATGAGAATCAAAAGGCGTAGCATGAACATCATTCAAGATAAATCACACAGTTGCCATAAACATTATTAGCATTGTCAATGACCTAAGATCAATTTTCATTATGCGGTGAAATAAATTGAAAGGAAATGAGGAAGTGAATGGCAGAAGACATGGAATGAAAAATTTAAGGATGCTCGCGTATTGCCATTAAATTAATTGATATTGCTCATGTCCATATCTTATCCAAATGAAAGCTATTTTCAGGATTTCATCGTCATTATTCCAAATTAATCACAATTTAGCCTTAGATTTTCAATAGTGTTGCTTTAATGCTTTATTTTGCTGACTGTAATTGATCATTGTCTAATGAATCCACAACCACAGTCAGGTGAATAAAAATGCGTCATGCAATGGCATTAAGCACACGGAATTAGAATTAATGTATTGTAATTATTGTGATTGTTGATTTTTCTGTTGCTGTTCCTAGATTCTTTAACGAATGGGAACAGAAGGATGTTTAGGAGTAGGTTGGAGTCATATTTGGCCATCCTTACTTATTTATTGACTTTAAACAAGAAAACTTGACCTCGGAAAACAAGATGAAGTACAAAAAATGCTACTTGGACATTCCAGCACAGGAACTAAATCATCCATAAATTTATAAAGACTAATCATGAATGCACAACTTTGTGAGTTTATCATAATCATGATCATCATGAATGCCTTGTTTAAAACACGAAACTTCATAATTGTGCGTGACAATGACGTCAAATGAAAAGACTGGAACCAATACAGACACAAAAAAGTATCTCCATAATGAGTACATAATGTAAATTATTTTACAGGGATGACATCAGAGGCGTCAGGCAGTAAAATGTGAGTGAGAAAGAAAATTACACATTTAGTGCCGGAGGGTCGTAAATATTTATTATCATATCATTTTAAATACATAAATAAAGCGTAAATTTATTGCCATTTTTGTCATCATTCTCGGCACTAACTTCTCGTCTCATTTTTATTGTTATAAATTTTTGATAACTTTCTGTCGCTTCCAATTTTGAATTTTTTTTCAAGAACTTTAAAAGAACAAGCACACAGCAGAAAAAAACTGTTGAAATCAAGCAGCAATTGAGACTACAAAATAATGAATTTTGCGAGACGGAAGTAAACTTCCTGCATAAAAACTGACGACAATCTGATTGGCAACAGTCATATTAAGTACATTCATTGTAATTTGACATGTTAATTTCTTAGTTTTTTGTGTATGTATTGCTTCTATTGCTTCTTCTAGTCCATTCAACTCACACTGTTCTTGTTCTTTTTGATCAATTGTTGTGCTGCACAATTTTATGTCTTCTCAAAATGATGAATTTATTCAATTCCACTTCAACATTTTAAGTTCATAAGATCCTCAAAAATAAGAAAAAATATCGAGAGCAAAAATTTAAGGAATGAAAAGAATTTATTGCTGCAGAAAAGGTTGTTTTGGGATCTCAATTGAAAAGATATAAAAAATGTACTCAAATAGAGAAGAAAATTGTTGGTAAAGTGGAAGCACTGTCGGGATAAAAAGGTAAAAATTCTTCCTTTAATGCTTCTTGAAAATATTTTTTATCAATCTCATAAATTTCTCCTCAAAACATGAAGAAGGCATGAAGAAAAAATTGATGAAAATTTATAGCATAAGAACTGGAATCGATTTTTGCTCGTTACGCAACTTTTTTACCTATTTAAGTGAAACAAGTTTTGATCGTTAAATTATTTATTGAAGGGTAAAAGTAGCTTCTAATGCAACAAGGTTCTTGAGACGATGAGAAGTCATTGATTCTATATTTTACGATTTTTTAAAAGAATTTTGTTATGGATTTAATAAAGAATATTTGAATTATAAGTTCTCGATCAGTGCTCCTCAAACTGTGCTCATTCTGGTTGGATTCAACACTAAAATCCACATGCAACTAATTGACAATATAAATGACTTTACCATCGAATTCGAACTAATTCATAGAATAACTGGATGTCAATAGCCAATTATAGAGTTCATATTTCAATTATAAACTTCCAGCATTTACCAATAATACTTTTCATACCTAACATCACCAGAACAGAGAGAAAAATCTTTGCATTATTGAAAGAATTTCAACACAAAATCCTCAATCACAAATCAGAACTAAGTGACTACAAATAAGAAGAAAAAAGTGTCAAATGCATTCGGATTTGAATGTTGAAATGAATGAAAAATGACAAAGTAGAAGTGATGAGATGGAGCAAGAAGAAGGAACGAAGAAAGTGACGACAAGTTAATCAGATTATGAAAATTTAATTCAATGTATGTGCACGTCATTCAATGAGAATATTTTGTTGCCTTTCCATTTCCCATCACAGTCTTCAGCACCGTCATGAAAATAAAATCTCCTGAATTTTTATATTCTGAAATTAAAAAATTTTCTACATTTTTTTCCCGCTTTTCTTGCTTCACTTTTCATTTGCATGACATTATGATCTCAATATTTCATTATTTGCTCATTGTCATCGTCATTAAGTTCCACTTCTTAGTATTGTAACTCATCCATTCATGTTCCCTCAATTTTCCTTATTTTTTCTGTTGTTATTTGCCATACGCACCACTTTTATTCATTCAAATTGACTTCAAACAATGTGAAAATTTGCAATATGAGTACGAGAACAAGCATAAAGAGGAAGGAGAAGGAGGAAAAAT